TCCTTAGTCCTTCTCAAGTACTTAAGGATCATCTTAACGGCCTTCAAGTGTTCATTCTTGGATTTGACTGATATCTGCTCGTGACACTAAGTGCATGAGCCACATCAGGCCTAGTACATAACATTGCATACATAATGCTACCAATAGCTTATGCATAAGGTATACAAGTCATCTTTTCTCTTTCTTCAGGTGTCTTTGAAGACATAGCCTTAGAAATTGAAACACCGTGACTCATTAGAATGTATCCACGTTTGGATTCCTCCATGCTAAACTGCTTTAGCACCTTATTTATGTATATCGACTGGGATAGTCCGATCATCTTTCTAAATCTATCCCTATAGATCTTTATCCTAGGATAAAAGATACTTCTCCCAAGTTTTTCATGGAAAACTGTTTAGACAACCAAGTCCTCGTTGACTGCAACATTCCTACATCATTCCTAATGAGTAGAATGTCATCAACATAGAGCACAACAAATACTACTGCATTTCCACTAACCATCGTATAAACACATGGATCATCCGAATTTTTGTGAAAATCAAACATTTTGATTGTTTCATCAAACAGAATCCAACTCCTTGAAGCTTATTTAAATCCATAAATGGACTTCTGGAGTTTGCAAACCATTTTCTTACTCCCACTAGATATGAAACCCTGTGGTTATTTTATATAAATATCCTCCTTAATGTTTCCATTAAGAAAAGCAGTTTTCACATTCATTTGCCATATCTCGTATTCATAATACGCAACTATGACTAGCAAGATCCGAATGGATTTAAGCATTACAACTGGTGAAAAAGTTTTCTCATAATCAACACCTTGTTTATGAGTATAACCTTTTGCAACCATACACGCTTTAAAGTATTCACTTCTCCATCTACTCCAAGCTTCCGCTTGTAAACCCATCTACAGCCAATGGGTATAATACCCTGTGATGGGTCTATCAAGGTCCATACCTTGTTTGAGTACATGAATCCATTTCTGACTGCATAACTTCTTGCCATTTAATCGAGTCAATGTCCAACATTGTCTCTTCGTAGCTTATTGGATCATTATCATGAGTCCCTCTTCATTGTTCTTTAACAATAGGTTAGCCTTTCAGGCGCCCTAGAAACCCTTATAGATTTCCGAAGAGGCTGTGGTTCAGAAGGTCCAGTCTCAACTAGTGTGTTATCCGTGACAACTTGTGAGATACTTTGTTGTTCTTGTTCTTCATTAAGTTCTACAACCTCACCATTCTTATTAGAAAGAAACTCTTCTTCTAAGAAAACGGCATTCCTCGAAACAAACACCTTTTGTTCAGAGGGATCATAGAAATAGTATCCTATAGACTCTCTTGGATACTCCACAAATTTACATAATATGGATCTCATATCCAACTTATCTCCCACTTGCCGCTTCAGTAAGCAGCACACCCCATACATTGAGATACTTGTACGAAGGTGTTTTGCCACACCATATCTCATAAGGTATGTTAGGCACGACTTTACTTGACATCCTATTCAATAGATATGTCGTCGTTCCTAAGGCGTAGCCCCAGAATAAAAGAGGTAAAGTAATGGAACTCATCATTGATCGAACCATGTCTAACAAGGTACGATTCCTCCTTTCTGAAACTTCATTAAAATGTGGAGTACCAGGAGAAGTCCACTACTAGAGAATCCCATTCTCCTTTAGATAATCGATAAACTCAGTGTTCAAATATTCACCTCTTCGATCTGATCGAAGAGTTTTAATATTACGATCACTTTGTTTATTTACTTCACATCTAAATTCTTTGAACTTATCAAAGGCTTCAGATTTATACCTTAAAAGGTATACATAACCATACCTAGGGAAATCATCGGTAAAGATTATGAAGTAGTGATAGTTCTTTCTCGCACTAACAATTAGTGGTCCACAAATCTGTATGAATCAAATTTAACAGAACTTTAGCTCGCTCCATTTGTTCAACAAATGGTAATTTTGTTATTTTTTTTCTTTTAAGACATGACTCACATGTAGACAACTTATCCTCTCCCCTAAGGTCGAGTTTTAGTCCCAATTTGTGAATCCTCTTTTCAGATATATGTCTCAATCTAGCATGCCAAAGTTTAAACTAACTATGATTATCTAACTTTTATTTTGTTGAATAATTAGGATAATACTTTAAGGTGTAACAGTGTATAAACTGTTTGTTAAAATACCGAAATATATAATATCAGTATCTTTGAAAATGGAACAACTTCCACTCTCAATAACAAATTTACACCATTATTCAAAGCTAGATAAACAGTCCCTATAGCAAATGCAACAACTCTTGCTCCATTGCCCATCCTAAAGACTATTTCCTTATTGTCCAGTTTTCTACTTCTTGCCATTATTTGCAAATCATTGAAAATATGTGAGCCAGAGCCGGTATCTAATACCCAAGAAGCATCATTAACTGATTAGTTAATTTCAACAAAATAAACACATGAACTCTTCAGGCTTGCAAGATATTTCTTACAATTCCTCTTTCAGTGCCTTAATTTGTCACAATGGACTCGTGATCAGTCAATTTATTTTGCTCAAGAATACATGCAATTGGATTTTTAGCTATTTTAGTAGAATGATCTACCAAAATAAACAAAGCAGAAAATGAGTAAACTATGGAAAATATATTCATTTAATATAAGGTCTTTAATATTAAATGTCTCCTACTATTTTAATTAAACCCCATAAAATTTTGATAATCAAATTTTCACAGTGGGCTTGAAGCCCAATAAAAATATTCCATATCTCAATTTTATGAGTACGCATGAAATATTTATATCGGTAGTCAACATTTTTGACAATTGTATCACTATACAACCCTCAAGTTTATTTTGCCTCACTTTTCATATATACCCTAATTTTATGACCGTATATAGTACTAAGTGTCAAACTAAACCCATCAAACATTCGTGATAATGGCGCATTAGGGTGTCCCACGACTCGTGGCCAACACAAAGACGAATCCATCTCACGAGCATCTCAATGCTTAATAAAGATCACAACTTTTGCCACAAAGCCACCCCACGACTCATGGTCAGTGACTAAGCACCGTAGCATCGTCATGTCATCTACTTTTGATGGAAGGCATGGATTAATTGGTCCAACCTATTTTATCCATTTTCAATTTGATATAGAATTAATCGAATTAATATCCTTTAGGGTTTTAATATCTCATCATTTGTTATTTGTGTTTATTTAATGCAACATTCATCACGTGAAATGCTAGAAAAATAAACCATACATGCATCATATGCAGAAATTGATGGGATGATCACGGTCGTGCCTATGCGACCCATTTGAGCCAAAATGGGTCTATGCCTATATACGGGACAAAATAAATAGAACTACTTCTATTACATTTTATTTTATCAACCCGTACAAGCACAGGCCTTCAAAATTTACAACTTGTAAAATTACCCACACAAGCGTGGGCATTTTTCATCAAACGGTCTTCAACCTGATCTAATCTACTCTCGATGCAATAATGTAAAATTATACAAATTATTGAATAAGAGACTCGCAGGTCTCGATAAATTACAAACATTCAATCATATTGAATAAAAGGCTCATGATCATCCCTAAATAAACCATTTATCACATGAATTCAACCATATAAATTCACCAATTTAATATGTTGATATAGTAATCAATCATATTAAGTTTACCAATTTTGTGTGTTGATTTAATTGTGGGATCATTTCAAACTTAAGTATTCATAATAGTTAATATAAAATAAAAAAAAATTATTATTATTATTATTTTTATGTCACACGACTCGTGTGACACCTCACACGACGCATGTGATGTCACACGACTCGTGTCCCTTAATTACACGACCCGTGTGAAAAAGCCGCAAGCAACTTATAATTTTCCATTCGTCCACACGACTCGTGTGAGGTCACGCGACTCGTGTGCATTTGTCACACGACTCGTGTGACTATTCATATATATTTTTTTTTTTTTAATAATGTCATCTCATGACATTTATATTGGACAAATAGATACATTATCTATACTCAACAATTGAGTTATGGCAATTAAGACTTGCAATAATACATCTTTATGTATACATATATTAATCAACATTTGATTATAATTAACTAATCATGAAATTAATTTCAATATATACACAACAACTTGTGTATATATTAATCAACAATTGATTATAATTAATTAATCATGAAACTAAGTTCAATATATACACAACAACTTGTATATATATATTAATCAATAATTGATTATAATTAATTAATCATGAAACTAAGTTCAATATATGCACAACAACTTGTATATATATATATATATATATATATATATATATATTAATCAATAATTGATTATAATTAATTAATCATGAAACTAAGTTCAATATATACACAACAACTTGTATGTATATATATATATATATACTAGGGAAGGACCCGCCGTGCAAAGCACGGCGAGACCCACGGTTAAGTTTGTAAGTTATTTTTACATTTAAATATGATGAATGGAATAAATTAATATGAGTATGAATGATAAAATGTAAAGATGTCTTCATAAACACTACCTAAATACATTAAAAGGAGAAGGTTCTTGAGACTAAACAGAAAACAACAAATATTACCAATATACACTAAAAACAGGAGTTTCTAAATTCCAAGCATTTTCAAGCACACTTTGATAAGCACTTAACAACTTAAATATCTAAGAGCAGTTTAACCAAGTAATGACTTAATTAAAGTTAGTAGTGATTGCACAAGTCCAACTCTTCATACAAAAAAAACGAGCAGGTTGAGAGCCCAGCTTTGCATGTGATTAATAACTATTTTATTTTAAATATATATGATATCTTATAATATAAGGTCTTTAAATATCAACAATTCATAATTGTCAATACAAATACAGAAAGAGCTCTATATTCTTGATCCATCCATATTCGGATCAAATGTGATCTGGATTTAGAAGCTCAAGAAGCCTGCAATCTGATCAAATGTGATCTGAATTTAGAAGCTCAAGAAGCCATCCAGATTGTAGGGATAATATTCTGGTGCACCAAACACAAACAAATCATTTGAGTACTAAAAAATTAGCATAAAGAGATAAAAGGACCTCATTGGGAAAATGAAGAAGCACATTACATAGTACATCGTACATTCATTTCTATTTCCTTTCCATGAAAGTTGTATATGTAAATGCACACTACATATACCTCAGGCACCCGCTTTCGGTATCTTTATTAACTAAAACATCAAAGTCACTAACAGTTCATTCAGCCGTAGCCCCAGCTGGGCTCACATAGATTTTCAGTACGGACATTAAGTGATTACCATACTCGTGTTGCTGAGTTTGTTGTTGGATCCTGCATAAGAATTTTGAAAACGACTACACTGCCTCATACAGATCACTTTTCACATTATTAATCATTTTGGATCGAAAAAACTTTCTCTCATATTGCTAGCTAACACTCCCTTAATAGTAATACTTGAGTCATATCCTTTTTCTAGACTTCCTTTTCTCAATCAAAGATTTCTTACTTGATAGAAATACAACACTCCCTTAATAGTATTAATTTCTAAGAGTAGGCTAAAGCTAAACTAAACCTCGTCGATAGTATTTGTAATAAAAAAAGAATGACGAAAGAGATGCTAACAGTCCTTTTTCATCAACAGAGGCAAACATAAAAGATAAGTACACTGAAATGAAAAATAAACACTTCCCAACCGTTTTGGCGGTGTTCTCTATATCCATCTTTCTGAACCAGTTCTGAAACAGTCTTTTGGAATTGTTACATAGGCGCATAATACATTTGTCAAATGATGCATCTCACAGAATCATCCATTTTATCACAACCTTTATTTTACAAAAGTTTATTTAAATTGATAGTGATTAAATAAAAACGAAAAAAAACGTTAAACAACGGGATTATATTGTTCTAGGAGCATCAATCAAATCCATGAGATCAATTCTTACTGAGTTTGAAAGTAATAAACTACGAGAAATTTATTTTTTCTTGATAAAAACAGAGAAAAAAGAGATTTAAAACCTTGATGGAAAGGTAGTAAAGATAAATCCACTCACGTTAAGATAATAAAACATGAGAATGACTGTGTTTTGGTGCAACACAAAAGGAGATATGTCAACTATACCAGCTGCTAACCACGTGAGCTGTTTCTCATCATTTTTATACAAAAGCGTTTGAAGATTTTGTTTCTTCACATGCAAAATTTGAAAAGGAGTATTCATGGTTGAGCCTATTTATCAACTGCAAATATCTATAATAAACAAAGAAAAAGAAAAACATCAAACTTGGTTTTTTTTCTTAATATACATGCATGCTTTTTTTATCAGGGATATATCTATAATCTTAGACACATGAAAAAATAGCATCAAACCCCACAAAATCCTAAATAAAATGTAAAGAACAGATAAAAAGGTTAATACTTTTACCTTCATGTAGAAAAATCTCCATGAAAGATATTGTTGGGAAAGAGGAAAAGACAAAAATAAAAATCCTGCAAAAACACACATAGAGATGGCATAAGCGAACAAAATTATATAAGCATTTGCTCAAAAACGGTAATTTACAATTCTTAATATTTTAATGACCGCTTTCTCATCATGTATAATTCAAAAATCAGAACTCTGCACCATCAAACCTAGAATAGAGCTTAAGGTTACACAATACCAGAGGAGGACAAATAGAATTTTTTTAAAAATTGCATTAAGAATTGAATTATCAACGAATCGAAAAGTTAAATTACTTATTATGGTCAACGTATAGAAAAGTTAAATTACCTATTGTTGTAGATTTCTGCAGGTGTTTCGAATAACAAAACTTTAGCATTCCATAAAATATAAATGGATCAATATTCATTAAACCAATAATTAGTTGTCATCATCATTAAAACAATAAGCAATGAAAAAAGTGGATAGATAATAATAAATACTAAACAAACAACTAAGTAACCATACAAAAATAACAGATCATGAATAACTGCAACAATAGATGTGACTTAAAAATCATATCAAAATGGTCAAAGCAAAAATTATCTTTACCCACTACTAAAATGGAAGAATCAATAAGAAGAAGAAAAAAATGAAATCCCTGCAAGAACAAATGGAATCCCTGCAAGAACATTTTACAGACATTAAGCAAAAGTTGTCAGAGATAAAATGTTTAAAGCAACTCATTATCTAACAATCAAGAGCGTGCTTGAACATTAAACAACAATGTAGAGCAAACATTAAGGGTTCATTACATAAACTACTTGGGATATGTCTGAACAATATACATTCCAATTATTCTTCAGATGTAGAAAAATATCAAAGAAGTATAACAAACTTCTTTTGAGATTATATTTGTTAACAAAAGTCCTCCCATTGAGGTTGCATTTCGTACAACAAAAACACGATCCGTATGGTATTTGTGATTTTGAAGAATGCTTTTTTTTTCTTTTTTTTTTTCGTTTTGGATTATACTAAACCTCAAGAACTTTTTGTCCTTAACTTATGTTTTTGAATAAGTAAAATTAATAACAATAACCAATCCTTGAGCAGCAATTGGTAGAAACGTCTATTTTCTTTCACATCTTCTCTCTGAATGTATTTTCATTTCCATGTGAGCTTCAAACTCAACTCATGTGTATAGTGTATAAGAATTTGGGATCGTCAAGATATAAGGGTTTGACAAAGAGAAAATCGGAGATTTTTTCTCCCTCCGGGCGTAACTCCATACGACAGCACCTTAGATATATCTAATATACACAACAACAACATAGCCTTTTCACTATATCTAATATAGTGAAAATTAAATTGGAAATGCACTTTAGATCTTGAAACATCTCTAGATGAATCGANTGAATCAAAAAAAAAAAAAAAAAAAATACTTACACGCATCTGAGCAGCAACTCTTGGGAGACGGTCAAAATTCCTAAATTGCTGAGCAGTACGGTCGCGGTGGGGATTTCAGATTTATGTGGGAGATGAGTTTTGATTCCGGTTCGAGAGAGAGATAAATCGGAAAGAGATGACTATCTTGGCCAGAGAAGATGTGATTTATAGTCACGTGGGAAGGAACCGACCAAAAAAAAAAATAGGGATAAGAAGTTACAAAAAAGCCAGCAATTAACTCACCTGCTAAATACAATCGACAATTCGGTGTGAATCCATGCGTGGAACCTTCCCACCTGAACAGGATGTCGACAAGGAACGCGTTGTCGAGTTGAAGCTCGTCGAGAGGAAAATCTCCTGCCAAAAAAAAAAATTCGGTCGAAAACATTACACAGGAAAAAAAAATTTAACATTTTTGGGCGAATTGAGGGACCATGAGAATGAATTTTCGGAAAATTTGTAAAGATTCATGAATTGTAAAATACAGAAGAAAAAAATATATGGGTCTGGCTCTGTTGTCGCCTCTCTCTGTATTTGTATATTTAGAAAAGGGACCTAATAATAAGAAAATTAATTAAGCAAAATACAAAAGGAAGCAGGAAAAAAAACAAAATAAATTAAGGCATACACGTGTCAAGATAATAGGGCAATTGGAGAGAATAAAAAATTAATTTATGGTACAGTGCCAAACTTCTTTTTGTATAATAAGAGACAATAGATATATATATATATATATTTCTCATTTGATCAGAAATATTTTCTGGCCGTATGAACTCGAACAATTCGATTCATTTAATTAATCCCAAATTTAAAATTAAATACAACATTTGTATCACACACAAAATATATATTATTTAACAATTGTATATGTTTATCACATAAACATAAACAAATCAAAATCTGAATTTAAAGATGCAAACCGTGGCTCTGATACCATTGTTGGGTTCGCTATACTGTACGGATTAAAATCGCAGCGGAAATTATACAATATAATTATCATTTATCAAATAAATACTTAATTCGTAGGTACATATAGCGAATAAAATGATCGACATCTTTTAAAAATCACGTAAAAATACGAATTTTGATTCGTAGAGAATTTTGAAAATTACCTTTAATTTTCTCCAAATAACGACGATGAAGAGGATATCAATTCCCGGTTATGTGGCTATCACCGTCTTCTTACTCCTTAAGGGATCCTAGTGTCTCCCCTCTAATTGAGTACACCCATTTAGATTCCAACTCCGAGAATAATTTCTTCGCTAGTAGAAATTTCTCGGTTTTCAATTAGTATAGGAATTGAAATTAAAAGAGGATATTTTTATTTATTTTCTTCAAGAACAATTGTTGCAAGAATGGGAGAGATAATTTTTCTTATCTTCACTTTCTCAAAGTGCAAGACTTTAATTCATTACATTCATACATCACATATGTATATATTTATACTAAAAGTTTATGTATAAAAAATATAATGTTGGGTACAACCATTTTTATATAAAAAAACGAAGTCTTGGCAAGACTATTCTTACCTAAATTTACTAATAATAAAAATAAAAACAAATATGTAGAGTGGGTAACAACTCCCATCTACCATAATTATTTTATTTTTATTAATATTTAATCTTTAATCTAAATTAAAGATTAATAATAACAAATAATTTATGAAACATTTTCAATATTATTTGTTAAAATATTTTTATCTCCAATATAATAAAATCTCCTCTTTTTATAATCATATTATTATTTGGATTTGAATTTTAAAATCTAATTTTAAAATCCAACTATTAATTTAGTAATTCCAATAATTACTTAATTAATATCCAAAGCCTAACTAATCAATCCAATTGATTAATTTGTTTTATTCCTTTAATTGACATCTAATATAAATTAGATTTAATTAAATAATCAAATTATTTAATTAAATTTTGTCAATTAATCCAACTATTGAAAATACCAATTTCAAAATATTCATCATCCAAAATTTGGTGTGACACTTTTAGGTTCACAATTAACACTAGTAGTGGGTTTACAACTCATTTGTAATTTAAATTAATCTAATTAATTTATATTCTTGAAATTAACTCCTTGATTTCAAGAACCCACAAATCATGATAACACTTAGCAAGTAGCATGATCATCTAGTGTTAAGTGAAATAGCGAGTGAATCTTTTCAAATGCAAGTGCATACTTGTAAAATCCTTTCGACAACTAATTTCCCGATTAAATCTTGAGCATGAATTTATAAGTCGAAACCCAATTGATTTAATAACTATGATTTCATTTCAAGTTTAGTGATTCCTTTATGAATCCATATTCATCCTGCCTTGGTCAAAGTCTTTGAATTACAAACTATGAAAAACATAGGAAATTCACTTATCCACATAAGTGTCGAATTCTTTGTTGGCCACAGATAAACCACCATACATATTAATACAGTACCCAAAATATCCCTTTTATGATTGTCCAACAATCAAAGGATAAATCAAAATAAAGCAACAACATGCACAAGATTACTATCGTGCCTCAAGTCTTAGGATTAGTCATGTACTATTGCAACATGAAAATTCTTATTCGACAGTTAAAACTTCCAGTTAAGAATTTTCATTGGGTCATGTTTAGTGAACTTGTTCTCCAACAAGCATCAGCATATATGCATTCGCGTATACACACTAATGTTGATGGAATGCAACATTCTCATCCGATGAGCATACATCATATACACAAATCTTACCGGGTTATTGGATGTCCTTTCTCAAAACACCGATCGACTTGGAACTTATTTAAGATCACAGCTGTAAAGACATGTTCCATGATTGCCATCAAATGCGCAACCATGCCTCATAGCTAATAATGATCTAAGGACTTTATCATATGTGCAAATATAGGATAAATGCAAATATATAAGATAAAGCTATGCCTCAAAATAATATAATTTCCAATAAATTATCTTTAAAAGTAGAAATAGATCCAATCAGATTGGAACGCCGGGTATTTAACTCCAACAATATCTGCCCTCGAAAATTTTTATCGACCAACCTATGATATGTAGCTCTCAATTTTTCAGCCCAAATGGCATAACCACATAAAAGTATGTCCCTTTGCTTGTAACAAAGCTCACTTTTTTCCTATCCTTCTTTGCTAAAGGGATATGATGATAACTTTGAGACGCGTCCCTTAAGTTGAGGAGCTCGCACCCGACTGTGGAGTCCACCAGCTAGTCAATTTTATGGAGAGAGTAGTAATCTTTTAGGCAGACCCTATTCAGGTCGTGAAAATCAATGCATTTCTCTTTTGATCACTATCACCATGCTGGAGAGCCATTTTGGGAATTATATTTCAATAATGTGCCCAGCTTTCAGCAACTTATCAACCTCCATCTCAATGACCTTATCAATTTTTTCCCCGTGTTGTCTCATTTTTTTCTTCACATGTTGTACCCCTAGATCGGTATTCAACATGTGCTTGATAATACTAGATTTCGATCCCTGTTAACTCGTTCAGCGTAAATGCAAAAATTTCCTTACATTCTACAATGAGATAGATGAGATCACCCTTCAGAGGTTCTTGGAGATTTCCCCCGATTTTAATCGTCTGAACTTCCGCACCTTCAATGAACTGCACCTCCACTAGCTCTTCACTGGGTTGCATCTCTCCCCTCTCCCTTCTCAGCTTCGAGCTCATCAGCTCTTTACTCCAACTGTTGCTTCCTTTGGGTACTTGCTGCCCTGCTCTATAAATACATCATTAAGCTCATGGGATTGAAGAGAATAGAAAACACAACCCCACACATTGTAACCGATCGACCACCCCTTCTCTCTCTAGTTCTAATAGTCGAGCTTTGTATTCATTATGTTGCTCCACTGAAACAAAACGAAGAGGTGTTCGAGTAATACAGTAGAAGATCCTGAGGTACCGAGACCCCGAGATCATCATTGTCGACGAGCCCTGCGACCACCGTGCACGAACCTGTCGACCACCGCACGTGAGCCGCAGCCCGCAAGTAGCCGCAAGACATCTTTGCGCGCCCTGAGATCCACCGTAGTAGCCCCGCGACGCACGCAACTCCGCGCCCGATGATTCACCGCTTGCGATCACCATCGCCAGCCGCAGCCCCGACATCCCCGCTGCACCCAACGACCACCGACCGCGACGTTCTGATCTTGGCGATGCTCCCGATGAGCTTCTCGACATCCGACGAGAAAAAATCTGGCAGCCCAATGGATTCTGAGTACAGACGATCTTTAAAAAAAATCTACTACATCTCAGAGTCTGCAATTTTAAGCAGTAAGTTTTTAACGCTAAACCTCTAATCCATTGTGCGTAGGTTTATTGTTGTTATTAATTCATAACTTGTGCATAACGAGATTCTTACCGATCCCAACATATTATTCATGTTCATGCTAAGATTATATTATATGTTATTATACTGAATAATTGCATAATATTTCCCACGGTGAGCTAGTTGTTTGCTCACCATCACTATTTCCCACCTTTCAAGTTGAGTAGCTGGCGGCGGACGCGAAGGGACGAGGGTGGTCATTAATTGTGCTATTTGTTTTTATCGCTTTCGCAAACGTTTTTCCGACTTGATGTTATTTCGGGTTATTGATGTTGAGATTATGACTGTGGGTTTCGAGACTTTTTATGATTGAAAATAATTATGTCTCGAGCTGATGAGAAGGAAGTTAAAAGTTTGGAAGTCATTTCCCTAAGAGCTTAAGAGGCGACTTAAGCTAAGTTAAAGGAAAAGTAAAAATTTTTCAATAGTGCCCGAAAAGAGTTTCCAAGTGAAAAATGTTTTGAAAAGTTCAAATTATTTCTAAAAACTTAGTGTTTTCTAAAGAAAAGTAAGAGGGCGCTACAGTGTGGTATCAGAGTAGGCCTATGATTCTGCAGACTTGCAAAATTTTTCAAATTTGAAAAATTTCGAAAAGGTTTTAAAAGGTTGACCACTCGCCTCTGTCGTACCGCGCCAACTCTGAGGTAAGTAACTTGTGCTAGTTCGGTAATGGACTCAAATATTCGCTCGATCGTTGCGTCATCAATATCATTGGGCACACCAGGTGTTGGGTTCTATTAGGAACGTCGACAATGTGCACATTCAAATCTATTGAATAATAAATCCTAACGCAGCAGAATCTATAGTTAGGATTAGGACTTACGGTTTAAAATTTTTGCCGACTCTGAGACGTTTCTGATTTCCAATGATGGAGATCATCTGGACACCAAAGTCCTATGGGATACCGGTCTTGGCCTTTCTCGATTCTAACTGAGCCCTCATTGCGCTCGGATTGCTCATCGGGCTCTTGGAGTTGTCTCGGACCTTCGGTAGGTTAGTCGGACTCCTCGAACCGCTCGGGAACCATTACAAACACGAACCGGGGCTTCTAGACCAAGTTGAACAGGTTTGGAGGTTGTTGGACATGTCTGGGCTAGTGGGAACCGCGCTGGCACGCTGCTGGACCGTTCTATAGCTGCCTGAACTGGGGGGAGTGCATCTGTGCCGGCTGGAGCGTATCTGGGCTTGAACCTCGCTCGTTGGGCGGCGCTGGAGCAAGTTGGGCCGCGGACACACTGCAGTTGGGCCAAGGAAGCGCGCTGCAAAACTGGGCCTTCACGCGGGCTGGGATCGGGCTCCTCGCAGGCCAAGAGCTATGAGAGACCGCGGACTGGACGCGGGCCGCGCTCGGGCTTCAGCTGTGAGAGCGCGCGGCCCGCGTGCCTTTCCTCTTCACTGCTGAGCCACGCACGTATTTGGGCCGCCCGCGTGCTACTGGGCTGAAGAATCTGCATGCCTTGGGCTTCTCAATTCCTGGACGCACATACGAAGTGGGTTGGCAACGAGCTTCTTATGCACGCGAACTGGACCTTGGGAACGGGTTGCCCAAACAGATCGCACTCTAGACATCTACGGGACCTGGGCGCGGGGTGGATGCGCGATTGCGGTCCTGCCGTGACCTGGTGGTGCTGGGGAAATTCCGGCGAGTTGCCGGAGGTCGCCGGTCCGTCGGTGATCGGGGAAGTCGCCGGAAAATTATATATATTAAAAATATATACATAAAAGACTCGATAAATATTGTACCCTAAAGCCTTCTAATGTATAATCTTTACACCTACTTCGAATAATCTTGGTGGGCGATTAATCGAAACTCTCGAGCTCTCAAATATATGATGAACACGATTTCCTCTTCCTTATAGGAACCTTAAAATTGAGCCTCACTATCATTAGTTGGAACATCTTGTATTTATAGGCTATATTAGGGACCTTAAGAAGGTGCTAAATATGGGCTTATCCTATTAGGCTAAGGAAACCTAATTCCATTCCATATACTTTTCCAACCAAGGATGGAATTCCTCCTAACCCTAATTACCTTCTAGAAGACTCTTTAATCTCCTAACCCTAGGTAATATTCTAGAAGGAATATTCCTCTTCTAATGGAATATTGATTATGGAATAAAATTAATTTTTTAATCTAAATAGAATTAAATAATAAAACATTTCCACTAGAGTAATATTATTGTTCTCCCCATTTAGTTCCAATTTATTCAATAAATTCAAACCTCTACACGATTAATAAATATTAATCTAATTGATTGATTTATCTCCCTATGTTGAAGATATAAAGTCCGTCGATTAATTAAATTACTGACAAAATAATTAATCAACTTATTATCTATTTTCGAAACTAGTACCACTCAGATCATTAATCATTATGTCGGATACACATCCGCCTGCAGGGCTTGACATAATATTCCTTCCTGAGCTCATTTTGGGGACGTCATCAACCCAGCACACTGGGAAATAGTGACCATAAATAATTTATAACAACACATCATATAAACACCCTCATTTATCAAAATACTGAGTATGTCATCCTAACAAAGTAGGAATCAACAATGGTAAATCAAATAAACAAGTAATGAATATAATTGTACATTTTATATTATCTTACAACTTAAGGGTACGCATCAATTACTGAAAGTCTAGATTATAACCGCGATCAGTAAATCTTATAATCTTATCCTTCCGCTATCCTGTTCAATACTTAACATAAGTACTAGTGCAATCCTTCAGTTAAAGATCAACTGAATCAAGACTACACTACAGTTTTTTTTCCAACAGAGGTCTCACTGCCTGTCTAGACAGTGAATAATTAGTTTATAGTTTACAAGGAACCGATAATATGATCTTTCTGTTCGACACGACATCTATAATGTAAAATAGAGGAGTTATGTTTGCATGAATAAATAAACTGCAAACATAAATATTTTGACTAAAACATGATTGCCAGATCCAAATGGAATTGCTAGAATCTGCAAAACGAGCTTTTACAGCATACCTTTAACACCGGGAACATTCACATTTATCATTGGTCTCACCATTGTCGACAATGGAGGTCCCGAAGAAGATGTACCGCTATTTTACGCTTTTGTCCAGAGCCGAGCCACGACCACCATGAAAGCTCGACATTTTGTAATTTCAAGAATAATTTATAACATAAAAAAATGAGTATAGAATGGGATAAGGAAAATGAATGGGGGTGGGGGATATTTATAGATTACTTATTGGAATTTTTTCGATTTTCTTTTTGATATCTTTTGAAAATTTTCATTTTTTTTTGCAAACCGAACATTTAAGAAAGTAGAATTGAGGGAGAAGAAGAGAGATTGAGAGAGAGAGCGAGTAGAACGAAGGATGAGGAAAATGAATAGGGGTGGGGGCATTTATAGGTTTTTTTTTATTTCTTTTGCGAATTTCTTTTAATTTTTTTTGATTTTTTTTTT